GATAAAAAATCCCCCGGATATAAACAATCCATCACCCCCTGGAACATATTCTGATATATATGACCAGAAGAAGCCTTATATAGCTTGTTCCTCTGATCTAATGTAGAGCATGCGTTAGGCACTTATAGATTGTGCTAGTGACAGTAGCATATTACGCTACTAGCATTGCCCGATTATGCTCAAAATTATGTTCGTTTTTGAAAATTATGCTACATTTTTCTTAAAGTATGCTTTTCAAGAAAAGAAAGACAAAACCAGTTCAGATTATATCTATTTTTAATAACGCATGATATATATCTTCTTTATTTTTAATATGTTCTGAAATAGCATATTTTATCAGTTTTGTGACGACTGTAAAATCTCGTCGTTCACCTACCATTTGAAAGAAGCTGAGATGGAAATCACGTTTGTTTGCCCATTTTTAAGAATATCACAGAAATTATAAAAAAATTTTAAGAGTTTATATGGTTTTGGGGGACGCTGTCTCAACATTAGAGACGTTTGCATGGATTTTGATCCATGCCGATATCAAGTTCCATGAATTGGTCTCTGTTCAACCTAAAACGGCACCAAACTTAACCAAATAACTACTCTCAACGTGATCTTTCATGTAATAGTGTCACTTTATCGATTGGTTAAAATTTGAAACCCTTAATTCAGAGATTTCTTCGATTTTAAGACTAATTTTCGCTTTGGAGATCTTACTTGAAACCTCCTTACAAGGCGTGGCTTAGGTTGTCCGTATTAAAACGTAATAAAGCTGTACAAGCCAGTTACACAAAAGTTCACAAAGTAATTACAGTCAGAAAACCATGCCACAAACAGTGAAAGGGACCAGAAATCGGATTTGTGAAAGCAATCACAAGTAATCAACATGATATGCAGAAAGCGAATCACACAATAGTTACTAGCAAAAACTACAAAAGAAACGAACATAGATTTAAAACTACATGTTGTGCTAGACTAAAGGTCAAGAAAGCTAAAGAATAATACTCAAACGAAAACAAAAACAAAAACACAAAGTTAGTAAAGCAACCAAATAGCGATTAATTACTGAAACAAAAAGAAAACAAATACAAAAGAAACGAACTGAACCTTAGGCTCGATTACAGGCCGCTGTTCGGGAAAGGAGTCCGCGCTCCTCCCCCGAAGGTAGACCGGATTCGAGAAAGCGGCCGAAATCGAGCTTAAACCTAGCAGTAGCCACACGCAGTTTTCGAGTGTCTATTTTTTGACCTGTCGCTTCCGTATTTGAGCCTGAGAGAAGAACAGAGACAGTATATACACGGCGTTTGTGAAAATTATTTTCCAAATGCCTCGGTGTGAATTGAACAAGAGGCTGTAAAGCTAGCCTTAGACTAAACTGACGAAAGTTTCTTAGCTTTTTGTCGACTATGCGATCTGTAAGTTTATCACGACCTGTTAAAAACACCCCTACTTTGGACCTGAAGTGCATGTATTTAAAAGGAGATGTTTTTAAAATAGCTCGGTGATCTTCTTATTTTGTTATCGAATTGTTGTAAGGATGCTAAGATACAACTTCGCGTCAAGTGTGAGAAAAAAAATAATAATTAAAAAAAAAATTGTTGAGAGCCTTGAACTTCCATCCACAGAAAGTTTTTCAAACCTTGCAAACTTTTCTCAGTTATAAGCACTTCAAGCTGGAACAAAGGCCGGTTTTTTCCACATTATAGTTGCTTTTGTAACCCACTATTGTGACCACAACCTTATGCCATATGCCATATGCCTGATGAGGATAAAAACGTTGGTGGGTTTTTAGTTTTGGATTTTAGAACATGATGGCGTCACGTGTAAACGAAAAATACTTTTCTGACCAAAACCTTTTTGGTCGTGCCGTTTTATTAGAGGCCTGGAACGAGGCAAAGTGAGCAGACGCATGGAGTCCGGATGGAGGTCTTTCGCTGGCCAGCGGCAATCGTCACGAGCTGTCACGCGATCTGCTTTCACTACACAGTGGCTTTCACTTGTGCAAAGTTGTCATCTAAAACAACAAGATTTTAATCCATTTTCTCACTGAAACTGGCTTGGTCGTTATCTGATGGGAAACTGCAATCCACGAGCATTATTTGCCTTCGCCTGTGTGTCATCTGTGGCTGCGGAGGTCTGTTTCCTGAGTGTGTGTTTTCTCGAGGCGGAAGTAGGTAAGAAGAATTCCAGCCGTTCTTGTTGGTCAAATTTTGAGTCTGGTGCGTCCAGCAAGGATGTCAACTGCCCCTTGTTTGTGTTGTTCTTGGCTGCGATTGTAAATGGACTACTGCTTCTATTTACGTCGTCGTTTCTTCTGGCGAGGATCCTTGGTAGCGCTGAATGTTCCTTGAAGCGTATTCCAATATGTCGAGTTGCGCTTCGCTATGGCACGTTCTTCACCAATGTCCTCACCTCTCTTTTAATGATCGCCTTCATTGCTCTTATCATCGGCTTGAAGTCTAAAAAGAATTTCACAATTCTGAACAAGTCACACCGCGTCTACCTGGTTTTGGTGATTGCCGGGTTAATTTTAATCTTGATTGCTACTATCACGAATGGTTTACTCGCTTTCAGACGTTCGCGAAGATCGCCGGATGACGAATTTGAGGAGACTATTAGCCGCACTTACTCCGATCACAGCAGTGGACGTTTCTGGGATATCAACTGAACTGATGAGGAGCAAGTGAAGTTGCTGAAGGTTTAATTTAACTGCCGCAGTGGACGTGCAGAATCTGACATTTTGCTGACAGAAATTTTGTTAACTTAACTCTAACTAAGAGAAAAGGGAAATAATTTTCATTTTTAGTCAGCTTAGATTAAATTGAATTGGGACCCATGTTAGTCAGCTTAAATTAAATTGATACCCTTGATCAATACCCTCAATCGATACCTTTGGTCAAACCTTGATTGATACTCAATCGACACTCCATCGGCACCTCGGTTGACACTTGATTGACACTCCATTGACGTCTTGGTTGATAGTTGCTCGAGAGTCGACTAATTTTCGATTGATTCACATGAGTTGGTTGATACTCCGCTGACTATTGACCCATTGTTGATAGAGTGTCAATAGTGTGTTGACCAAGTATCAATCGGGATGTCGATCGAGCATTGATCAAGATGTCAATCGAGGGTACCGATTGAGAGTATCAATCAACACTTAGTACACATGATCTGACCTTACTAGGGGATGGCAACAAGGGGTAGCAACTTTATCTGGTAATCTTTTAGAAAGTTGGACTGCCGGGAATAGACAAGTGTTATAAAATCAAATTATCAATTGCATTCTGCCACATTTTCATGTACATGTACATACAACAGTATTTACATGTAATGCTTGTGCAGGGGTAACACTCTTCAGTTGGGTACTGTACAATACCAGTGTTTATATCCCACTTATGAGGCATTGTTTTAGTTGACACGCAATTAAGCCTTAACTCCCTATTGAACTCCGTACCTATTGTTAACTGTACAGTTAACCTGCAATAGACTAAAAAGAATGTTCCCGAATTTCTGACTGGAACCTGAAGATTTTCATTAGCTTTACAAACATTTGTGTTAAGGTTATTCAATGATTCCTACATGTATTTTACTGCCTGAGCATTTCCATTAATGATTATCTCAGGAACCAGAAACTGTTTGGTGAATGAGTACAGCTGTACATGTACATTTGCAAAACCACAATGAATGGTAGGAAAACAAAAATTGATCCAAACAGAGATTTAGCCAGATGTGAACATTAGGGACAAATATTTATATTTGCCGCAGTAGTGTAAATCCATTTACAAATTATGCATAGTTTAGTAATATATTGATAATTTTCCAGTTCATTCATAATTTTTTGGTTAACATTATTTACCAACGCTGCTCATTGAGATCCATATAATTTGTACACTACATGTATACTTGTCTATTAACTTAAGTGTGGGTGTGTTCAAAACAAGAAATGCTGAAATGATGAAATGGCACTATAGGTAAGAGTCAAATTATATGGGATACAGGTGTCCATAAGGGTTATCCCCCTTCCTGAGAACTATTTTCAGGGGCACAGCCAGGATTTTTCAAAGTGAGGGTACTTGCCAGATTGTCATGTTGTTTTCACCACCTGTTGTAGGTTGTTTGCTTTAAAAAGGCTTACAAAACGGGGGCGGGGGTCACCAGCACCCCAGGACCCAGTTACGAGGCTATATGGAGTGTATTTTAGGCTAACTGTCATGACATTTCATGTTTTCAATTAGTCTGTCTTCAGACACTCTAAATGTGTTTAGTTTTTTGTGCCCTCTTTGTGGCTTCGCAGCTGCTTTCATACTCAGTACTCATAACAAAGAAAGTGTACATCTATGAAGAGACTTTTACTGTTTTTAAGCATGCCCATTAATACGTAAATTTCTGACATTTCATTCAATGTAAAGTGACATATCATAACAGATCAAAAACAAAATGATCTTATCACGTAACCTTTGTTTGAGTGTTTTTTACAGTACATATAATATACTCTTGATGTGACAATCCAACAAGGAATGGACCTTTGTACCAATGTCACGCAAATCAACAAATTGTTGTATTGGATCGTATGAACAAAAAACCACCTCCGAAGATTTATCGTATTGAATTTAGTAACTATGCTGATTTTCGTTAGATTCTCTGGGAAACTAAAGAAAATATGGAACTTATGAATTTTACAAAGAAATGTTATGTATAGGGACAGGATCACGTGACACATCCAGTTTTGCCCGCACTAGGATGTGTGTGCCTTTGCAGGGGTACATGTAATGCATTATGTAAGCCTGGCCTGCACAAAACATCCCCTGATCTTCTGGATGTTTTGTGCAGGCTTGCATGATGCACTACCCTTTGTAGCGACCTTTTCGTGTGTGCAACTTTAGTTCAATAAACAAGAGCGTGACAAGAGTGACGGTTGTTCTGTTTCCCCGTGTATTAAATATGCAAATGTTGCCCCTGGTGTACATTTGTTTGTAAAAAAAAAAATGGCAAGTTTGGGGTCCCATTTATTTATTAGTTTCCAACAGAATCTTATTAAACTTCGCATACTTACGGGCGGTGAGGCTTATTTTTTGTTTGAATGAAAAAATCGGAAAAGCGCGACGTGACACCGGTGAAAAAGGTCATTGAACTTTTCATGCAACATACATGGAATGCCTTTCATCTTCGTGGCGCGATGATTGCTGGGAGTAGTAGTATATCAACCAATCAGAAGGCAGCTGCATACATTCGCGCCAAAATGTGCTGTATTCCGCCATTGTAGATTTTCGCAAAATTTGCTTCACGAAGCCTTGAAAGAAGAGGAAAATCATGTACATTAAACAGGTAAGATATTTTTCCTCTCATTGATCGCTTTGTGTAGCTTTCTACTGAATTCAAACGCTGCAAATATATATTCTGACTCATCGAGTTCCATGCGAAGTTCAGTTCATTCGATTGTCGTGCTCAGTATCATGGCAAAATTTACTCCGAAATGTTTTTCTTTTACATGGTAGATGTTACCTTCTTCTTTTTCCTATTTTGATTCACTTGACTTGCTGCTGGCGGACCAAAGGCCCGGAATCGCTAAGTGAACATAAAAAAAAAGCTCGAAAAAGTTAAAGCCTAATTTTGGTTTTCAGTTCAATTCTGTCCTATTTCTGCAATTTGCATGTATCGGCAACTGTCTTTGTGTCATTTCATGTAAGCATTGTACGTTGTAAAATTTAATCGATATTACTTAGATCTTGTCAGCAGAATATTTATTTGAGTTGAACTGTATTATGAATTATTGCTTTATTAAAAAAAAAAAAAAAAAAAAAAAATGGCATCACAAAGTGAAAGCAATTATTAATCAGTGTTCTCGCTGTTAAAATTAGCCGGTTTGAGCTCAGCATAGGTCAGTTAAGCTTGTGATAAAAATTATGTAATGAGTTTACATTATTGAGTGATCAGGGGACACCTTGTAAGAAAGTGTGCATTTTATAGGGCTAAAAAAAGACTTGAATTCCAACTTATCCTTTGCACAAGCAGCTCTCAAATATTGCTTCGTGCGGGCAAGTCTTAGTTTACCTTGATTACGATTTAATTGGCCGATGACTTGCCTGGGTCCTCGCTCTATCAGGCAAGGGAGAATGAAAAAGGAAAATCTACTTGCCCCGGACGATGGGAAATGCCTTTTTTTTTAGCCCTGCATTCAAAGCTGCACTACTATTTACCAAATAGAAGATAATGTTCCATGTTATTCCAGATAATGCATGCTTGAGGTCTTGGAAAACTGTTTGTGGATGCATGAGCAGACTGCAAGTGTGTTCAGCAGTCTTTCTGGTGCTCTACTGAGGCTAATTTAACTGGCCCAGTGGCTGCCAAACTTCTTGTGTCACTTGCCCAATGGCAAAAGCTTTTTATCCTAAGCAAGCAATCTAAGGTGGGTTCTTTCTTGTCCTGGTGGAAGTTCGGGAGAATGAGAATTGCTCTAGGATTACAACCCACAAGTGGGTGTTTCTGCAGCTATAACATGATAGTTGTTTTCAGCAGTTTCAGTGTTATGTTGCTTTTCCACTACATGTAAATACCATTTGTTACATTTGTTGGTTTGTAGGACATGTTGTTCCTGGTGCAAAATGATAACTCACTAGCATGTCATTCGGAATGCTACTTCCCTTGCAGGTTATCATTCAAGGCTTCAGAAGCTATCGAGATCAAACAATCATTGAACCATTCAGCCCAAAACATAATATCATCGGTAGGTACCAGTACTTGCTAGTTACTGTTTTGTTCAAAAGTGCAGCAGCTCTTGTAGGCTGCTATTGTTTTATTATTGTTGCTGCTGTTATTGTTTTAGGGCTTGGGGTATTGTTTCTGTTCTTTGTTCTGTTGTTCCCTTGAAGGGTATCCAGCCATTCATGTGAGACTTTACGAGAGCTGCTACGTGACCCATTATGTTTAATTTGCAATGTTTTGTGACTGTATTTTTTTGTCATCAGTTGGCAGGAATGGGTCTGGAAAAAGTAATTTCTTTTTCGGTAAGTGTTGCATTTTCATGACATGTACCTTAGTTATAGTTCTGCTTGCAAGTTTATTAGGGCAGATTTTGACAGTAGTACTTCGCTATAAATTTATGTAAATTAATGCAAAAAGCTTTCATAAGTCTTCATCACAAATGAAATTTGGCTTTTTAAAATGTAATTTACCCTACAGCATGTCTTGACCCAAAGTAGAAAGATAAGTTGTTAGAAGTTAATTTCGCTATGGAAGCTAATTATTCCATTACCTGTTGATCACTACATGTACATGAACCTGGAATTCTTTTGGTAATTTCTTTCCAGCCATTCAGTTTGTTCTCAGTGCTGATGAATTCAGTAACCTGCGACAGGAGGAACGGCAGGCACTTCTTCATGTAAGTTGTTTAGAATCTCTATACCATGTTTTAAGCAAGACGCAGTTGTCCAAGTACTGTAGCAACTTACATGTACTTGTGATTTAAGAGAGCTGGCACTGGGCAAACTGATCATCTCTGAGGATGATTTTGGCTGCCTGGTTTAAGCATCCAGAGGAAAGTTTTTGTTATAAGGAAGTTCAGTTCAAAAAGTTTTGCCTACCTGTAAAAACCAGTTGTCCTCAGGGCAGGAAAAAAAAAAAAGGTCTGATTGCCTGGGACAAGTGAATTTTGCTCTTGGGCAAATAAAAATAGAAGTTCAGTGGCCCAGTGGGCAAGTGATATTAGCCTCAGTAGTCTTGTGAGTCTGAATAAAAATGCCAGCTTGATAAATGATAATTTTCAGGCAGCAGTTAACCTTTAGTTAACCATTACATGTAGGTTGAAACCATGGATTAGTTAGAAATCCAAGTATACTTTGTTCGCATATGTCCTCTGATTTTCATACTGGCCCGTGTCTGCAAGAAATATTTTAGTGGGGGCACATGAAATTTACTGGCCCACTGGACAAGTGGATTTCAATTTTTTTTCCTGCCCTGTCCTGCCGAAAACATTAATAAAACTCCTGCATGTAGAAGTACTGCAATAGTTTATTTTGACTCTGTTTCGTATTGACCTTTTTTATGAAACACATGCTTGTAATTTTTATTGTCAAAAGTTAAGCACCACAGTAGACCATATGGTTTTATATCTGGTTGACATGCTGAAGAGTTTGGTCAATACAATTGTCCTATATCTTTGTCACTGACTCTTCCGATGATCGTTTTAGGCTATAGTTGGCTGTCCTTACTCACAAACATTCTACATGTAGACCCTCTGGGAGCTCCCCCACTCTACCCCCACCCTCTCCCGTTGCTCTTCCTTACTTAGTCTTTGTGCTATACGGCAAGTGTTAAATATTCATATGCATGAATTGTTAAAAGAAGTAGTTCTTTACATGTTTTTTGTAGGAGGGTACTGGACCACGTGTCCTGTCAGCTTATGTGGAACTCATCTTTGACAACACAGATAACAGGATTCCAGTAAGTGCATACATGAGCTTTCTAAGAGTCCTAATACAGCCTAAGCTACTGTATAACTACCATAACAAGACTGACAGTGAATACAGAATGTACATGACTGTAGAATTGTTACTGAACAACATGACTGGACACACAGATGTATTGTAGTCTAGAAAGTTAATTGTGTGCATTTTTTTTTTTTTCTTTTCAATAATCCATTATTGTTATCTGTATGTAAAACACTCTTATGGAGTTCTCAAACGTCTTCAAAGCAGTTGATTTGTCTTAATGATTTTAGTAAGCCCAGAAACAAATCTACAGTAAGTGTTTTCATATTTTGAAAAAGTTATTGTAACATTCCCTCTACAGACAGCAATAAAGGATCACTTTTTTTGGTGTGTCACAATAATTAGTGACAAATATAATAATTGCGTGTATATGTGTACAGATACAAGTACTCTTCTCATTGGTGTAAATTATGTTCCCCGGTAGATTGAGAAAGATGAAGTTTCCTTGAGACGAGTGATTGGTTCCAAGAAAGACCAATATTTTCTGGATAAAAAGAATGTAACCAAAAATGATGTCATGAATCTCTTGGAGAGCGCTGGTTTTTCTCGCAGCAACCCATACTATATTGTGAAGCAAGGCAGGGTAAGTCACTAAAAAGTTGCATGAAGTATCTCTGGGTTAATTTACAAACGAACAACTTACAGTTCCTAGTAGTCCTTCTTGTATAATTACCCTGGACATTGCTATTTTAAATACAGTACATGTACAACTTATCCCTGTGACTTTACAGTATTACTGTACAAAGCAAGAATCATGAGTTCTAAAGGCATCCACGGTCGAGTGTTGATCGATACCCTTGAATGATCCTCAATCGACACTAGATTGACACTCGATCAACACTTGATCGACTTCTTGGTCAAGAGTTGAGTAGGTTTTGCAGACATACCATTGATATTGATCGACACATATGAGTCGGTTGACACTCTGCCCGCTACTGACCGACTTTCCAGCTGATCAAGACATTGCTCAATTCTTGACTGAGTGTTGGCCGAGCATCAATTAAGATATCCATCAAGTGTCAATCAAGGGTGGATGGAGGGTATCAATCGACACTCTACCACAGATGCCTTTCCACATGTACACATGATCCAATTTCAGATTAATCAGCTAGCTGTAGCAAAAGATCATGAAAGACTGAAGTTGTTGCGAGAAGTTGCTGGCACAAGAGTGTATGATGAAAGGAAGGAAGAAAGCAAGAGTATTCTCAAAGACACAGGTACAAATGTACACGTACATTGAATCATAGGTTTTAGTGGATCAATCTCTTTATTATTCATGTATTTCTGACATTCTGATTAATGACTGTAACAAAAGAGAAGAGGGCACTAGCTTCTACAGCGTGCGTGGTTAAATTGACTTTTTTTTTTACATTTATGCCTTAATCTGAATGCACTTTTCAAATGTTCCATAGTTTACATTAATTCACAGTATATATATCTGTTAGTCTCTGCTTGCCTTAGCTGCTACTGTACTGTGTGGATATATGATTAAAGATAAGTGGTACATTTACTTTGGATGTGTAGATCTAAATGGACCTCTCTAGAATCATGGCTGGATATCAAGTAGAATTTTATTTTTTGTCTGGTTTGTAGAGGGGAAAAAAGAAAAGATAGATGAGTTACTGAAGGACATAGATGAACGCTTAGAGACACTTGATGAAGAGAAAGAAGAATTAAAGGAATACCAGAAGTGGGACAAAGAACGAAGGTACAGCAGAGGCAATCAAGCTCAAACTAAATTGAATCCATTTTATATTTGTGAAGACTGAGTGCCAACAGCATGAGACTCAGTGTAAACCGAATTCTCTTTCTCTTATATTATCATAAACACAACTAGAAGACATGTAGCAACATGGATTGGTGTATTGTTATGATGTTAAATGTTATTTTAGCATAAAATAAAGGTTAATGTTGGCAAGCAACATTTACACCTGTAGCTTAGATGAGCCCACACTCATCTCTGCGGTCCTCGACAGCACATGCCTTTCCATAAAAAAATTATTTGGTAAGCACTATTTAAGTGTAGCATGTCATGCGAGTAATCAGTTTCTCCCTTTTCTAAGTCCTGCAAGTTGTTACTTTGCTCTAAGTGTAACCCCACCCACCCACCCTCTTATCTCGTGACAGTTAGCATTTACCACTACTTCGAACCCTAGGGGAGTTTCTCTCCTTTCTGTTAGAGCTTCCTAAGCCCTCAGTTCATTCTTGTTAACTTTTGTTATTAATGCACAGCTCTAAATAACTTTTAATAAATTTTAAGGACGAGGAATTGCTGCCTGCGGCACCCCTTCAGTCCTGTGCTGGAGCCCCGTCAGGGAGGGGACATTTGTTCTCTGGCTGGGTTAATTTGGCACCATGTAATTATTCCAGCAACAATGTCCTCCTTGCAGTACAGGCATGGGGCCCCCCCTCAGCATAGCGCCATGTGCTGAGGCCCCCCATCCAGTGGGTTTTATCTGGTCGGTGGGCTGTTATCCGAGCCTTCCAGTACATTCCCTTCCCACTATTGCCCACTACATGGTCTTGTGTCTTTATTGCATGCCACAACATTAAACTGAGATCAAATTGATGTGTGACACAATTTTCCAGGTGCCTGGAGTACACCATTCATGATAAAGAGATGAGGGAAACAAGGGAAAAACTAGATGCGGTAGGGAAACAATAATGCTCTCTTTCATTATATTACATGTTTGATAGAATTGCCACTGACTATTACTGATGTCACACTCGGATTTTTAATCATATAATTACACCTGTGCTAATTGTTTTGGTAGTTGGAAAATTCCAGACAACAGGAAACAGATAAAGCAAGCACACTACAGAAGGAAATCAAAGATGCCAGTAACAAAGTCCAGGTTTGTTGTATGACATGTATTTATGAAGTTGTAAAAATAATTAATGGAAGTATCAGAAGAATCGTGTAACGTACATGTAATGTAATGCAATGCAACGCAATGCAACACAATGCAACATGACACGGAGGATGGGTGAGTAATCCTGTCGATTTAGTTACCAGATGCCTTTAAATTCCACATTGATTCAAGTGCAAACTAAGCCGTTCAAAAATCTTTCTTGTGAAAAAAATAATAACTTGAATACTGTTACAGTACTTGAAATCTACTGATAACTATCTTTAATTAACTGTCACTTTGTTTTATTTTGACTTGTTTCTTTTCATTTTGCACAGTACAGTAAGCCACTCAACACTTATGAAACATCATTTTCTTATAGTCTCTGTCCCAGAGCTTACGTGAAGTGATGGATCGCATGACAGCTGCAAGCTCTGAAAGACAACAACTTGATGAAGAGTGCCAGGACCACATAAAACAACGAACAAAACTGGAACTCGATATCAAGGACCTGGAGAGGAATGTCCGAGAGGACAGTACACTCAAGGTTATCTATCCTCAACTGAATAATTGAACTTGTAACACTTGCTTACATTACTTCCATTGACAGCAACATCCTACAGAGAACTTTTTATTATACATGTAATTGTGTACTCATTAAGCATCTGTGGGTGTTTAGCATGGGGTTTGTTTAAAACACGAAATGGCTAAATGATGAAATGGCAGTACGGTTAGCCTAAGATAAAACATTGTAGCTCTCCAGTTAGTCTAAACAGTGCTCAGGTTAGCCTAAATCACTGACTCGACAAGTGGTCACCTCGAGCTCTCAATAATTAAGGCCATATTCGTATCCTCAGTATTAGACTGGAACTAGCTTGCAACTGAAGCTAATGCGTGGAGTCTTTTCAAATGCAAATGAGATTTATCTCTTTTTAATGATATTTCCCCGCATGAGCCTCCATTTCAAGCTAGTTCCAGTCCAACACCGAGAATACGAATATGGTCTATTGTAATGGATAACCCTCGCGGACACCCGTATCCCACAGTGATTCTTACCAGTAGGTCCATTTTGTCATTTTGTGTTTTAAACACATCCCTTAACACGTGGTGTTTCCTATCATTAAACTGGCATTAAATGAGAAAGAGGTCCTCCAAGAGCTGACTAGAGTTGATACTAGTTTTTGACTGTTATGGCATCTCTTATTGTTGATCATAATAATTATGATCAACAATTAGAGATGTTAATTGTTATCTTTTATACTCACATTCTTACTTGCATATTCTCTAATTCTCAAACGGCAGTTTCCTGTTTGGTGATGAAATTCCAGGGCTGTATGTTGATCTGCAGTAAAGGAATAACTTACAGTCCTGAACAGTCTGTCTTTCCTTATGCAGGTACAACACAGAGAACAGCTGATGCGGTTGGAAGAAACCATTCAATCCAAAGAGGAAGAACTGGGTGAACTGTTACCCACTTACAATCATCTTAAAACTGAAGAAACTGAGTGCTCAGCAAGGTAAGACCACACCCAAATCCAATTCACCCCAAGCTAAAGAAGGTCCGATAAAAAAGCCAGTATGAAAGCCTGTGGTGGGTGCCTGCTGCTGCTCATTGTCGCTCTTTGTCGCTCTTTGCTGGGTTGCCAGAATTTGTCAACCATGGTGGTCAAGTTTTTTCTAGGAGCTTGCTACTGAATGTGGTCTCCCCCAGATTGTCCAGCTTCCAACTTCCACTTTGGTTTCGAGTTGACCCATTTTATTTGAATCTGACTCTAACAAAACTGACAACACCACTTTCTGTGACAGATTTCCAACCTACATGTAACAAACTTGCAGAAAACATCTCCTCGCGGTGACTTAAGTTCAAAGTCATATGATCTAGTGTATGCAACAACACTTGAAATAATATCAATTTTAGCAAAATGTCCTTCACATTACACTTAATTGAGCAAACTGTGTTTTTAGTTAATGTCTTACCAAAACTGCCCCAGTATAAGACTTGCCTGTCCCTCTCAAACAATGGGCCTACACCAGCATGTTCAATGAATATCAAAATGCTGCTGTATTATTTCTTTTCAGTGTTTCAAATTCCATGAAGCAAATTTTTCAAATGTTACAATTTATAGCATTGCATACCAGTGCACCAGAACCTTTGGCATGACCCTAACTATATTAGCGATTTTGGTTTTCTATAATTACTATATGTTGCCCAGTTTCCATTAGATTATAAAGAAATTAATGTGCAAATTTTCAGGATGAAAGTGTGTGAGAGGAGACGTACAGAGCTGTATGCTAAACAGGGCCGTAAAAATCAGTTCACAACAGCAGAAGCCAGAGACAGGTGGATCACAGAGGTAAATTGAATTGGTGATAAACACAAAGTTACAATAAGTTGCCTGTAAGATTTTACTTTTATTATAGTAATAATAACAAATATAACAGTTTTCAGTTGAATGTTTAAAACCAAAACCAAAGTAATCACTCTGGCCAATCACAAAGGGCACAGACAATACAGTGAACCAATCAAAACTCGAAGTAATTAGATGTACATGTACACTGTAGCTGACTTGAATTGAGGGAAAATGTGTGCGAATGAGTCACAGTTTGTATTTTTCTGCCTTGAATTCTCCATTATTATTTTTTTATCTTTATTTGATCTTCTCAAAATAGTAATAGTTTATGTGATAATAAAAGTATAATAAAATTTATGGCTCTATAAAATGATATACATGTTCTTGTAACTGTTCATAAGAAAAAGATTGTACAGTATGTGCATATGTACATTGTTACATTGTACCTGTTGTTTACAGGAGAAAAGCTCCCTCTCAGAATCAATAGCAAACAAAGAGTCACAAGTAAGTACAAACCATGTTTTGATAACTTTTAGAGAAAGAACAATTCTCACATCCTGTAAAGCATCTATAATGTCATTAGTTGGCAATACACTTGAAAAGTACATGTACGGAGGTGTCAGTTTTCTTTGTAATTCTGTTGATCTATACACTACCAAAAAACACATCTGTTTCATTTTGCCTTTGTGGTACATGAACATGCTTCCTCTCTCTTTATTTTCTTTTGTTCAAATTTAATGTGCGACATTATTTATTACATAATAAATAAAACAAAATAACCTGTTTTGATAAAAGGGATGTTCATTTTGTCTTGTAGATTCTGGGTATCAGAGCTGAGGTTGACAAACTAAGGACTGCCGTACAGGAGCTGACTGTTGAAATACAGGTGCCATCTAGACTGTCATAACATTTGCCATTGATCAGCTAATTCTGTTTTATATAATTGCACTGTATGGTGTTTTCCATTAATTTTGTCTACTCTTCATGTAGAATCAAGAAGGGCAATAATTTGCATACTTGTTAATTGACACCAAGTACTTGTTGGTACCTTTAATTTATTTTGGCCTCTCTGTTATGTTATTCAGGAAAGAACAGACAATGTGGACAAGAGAAGGCAAGATATTGAAAAGGCAAACAAGAAACATGCAGAATTGAAAAAGCGGAGAGATAATACTACCAACAGAAGAAAGTAAGCTGTTACAATGTAATTCTGAAATTCCTAAAAGCAATTGGGCACTGATTTTACATTGTTACATTGGCATAAGCATGCACTCAATACAGGTATGTATGTCAGTAAGTAAGGAGAATGTGAATTTAGGGTAGGAGGGTAGGACTGAATGGGTCACATACTGTGTTAAAAATTAATGTTAAATGTTCATCTGCATGTTGCATTATGCTTCAATCATACTCTCAGCTTGATTGTGAACCTCAAGATCCTATTGATGTTCGTGTTCATGTAAGACGTAAAAATGTTTATTCCACCCCAGAGAGTTATGGCGAGAAGAGGCAACAATAGAACAGAGCATGCAGAACACTAGAGAAGAGCTGAGTAAAACAGAGAGGAACCTAAGGAGCACTGTTAGCAAGGTACTACATGTAATATTACTTATAGTCAAAGTTTAGTTGGTTTTTAATAGAGTAATAATAAAAGCATTTTGATTAAAAAAGAATGAAAATATAAATAAAAGTATAGAAAACTGTTTTTCTTTCTTAACAGTATCCTATGCGTTTAAAAGAGTGAATAAAATTAATGATGCAAAAGAAGTTGTCCTTGCTTGCACGTAACTGATGGATGGGCGAAACAAGTTTTATAATGTAGCCACAAGTTAATGTTGTGCAAGGAGTTGCATAAAAGTATACTGCAGATGATGTACTCCATGTTTGAACAACACCAATAGCAGAGATATTGATTGATGCTTCTTCCAACTCTCTTGTACATGCAGGTTGATTTGTATTTTAATAGTGACACTGAGATTGTTGTTGATTTTAACAGCATGTCAGTAATGGTATTGACACAGTTAAAAAGATTGTTCAAGAGAGAGGCATTGATGGTGTTCATGGACCACTTATGGAGAACTTTCAGTGTGATAAACAGTTTTTTACTGCAGTTGAGGTCACAGCGGGAAACAAGTAAGGCATCTGCTGTTATAAATTGTTGTCTACACATATGGTGTATTGTTATGATGTGCATGAAACAGCCCTGACCTTTGATCAACAATAGGACCACTTCTTTCCTTTTATTTTCTTGAAATAAAAATACAGAACAATCCAGACCACCCTCGTCTTTTGCTCTTGTTTATTGGAGGATTGATATGCCCACCTGCCTTTCAGACAAATCAGTCAGAAGGGCTGTAGCCAGAAAAAAATTATGACCGAGGCAACGTCCATCGTTAAATTCTCTTCCTAGGTATTTAGCAGTGTTTTACTTCTCCCCTTCAAACCAAAAACCAACAAAAACAGAGAAACAAATGAGTGAGGCAAGTGCCTTGGTTTGATTCATACTGGCTAATTGGCCCTGATCAGGGTTTCAATAAGGGCAGAGCTCCAGGCAAATTGACCGGCTGTGAGAATAATTTTGCCCACACCTGGTTTGGCCTTCTAGAGGAAAGGTCCAGTTCAAAAAGATTTACCTGCCTGCAAGAACCAGTCGCCTTCCTGCTGAAAACATAAATGAAACCCTAATCAGTTAATAATGTATAATGTAAGAACAAAATTACATAGTTACACTTACTATACATGAAGTTGTGCATAATAATAATAATCAGAATTCTGTAGATCAAATAATGATAATGGTGTCCTTGAAAACTGCCTCGAACATCTCCTGAGAGACTTCTATACCACAGCAATTTTCTAACTCACTTTGTTTTACATGTATTTTCAGGCTTTTTCACATTGTAGTGGATTCTGATAAAACTGCGACACAAATCTTGTCCATCATGAATAAACATAAACTACCAGGGGAAGCATCATTTATGCCACTAAACACACTACTGAGCAGGGAACAAGAGCACCCCACCTCTCCAGTTAGTAATACTTTTGTGTCGTAACTTCAGACTGTACTAATAAGAACATTCAACTCTGTACACAAATTCAGTGCATGTTTAGTGTAGTTAAATTTTTGTACAGCTGCTGTAGTTTTAATCAGAAGACACATCTACATTGTAGTGTCTTGCCAGGTTGTTGCTTTTCTGAACAAATTTTGCAGGCAATTCATGCACGCAGATCTACACGTGCATGTACATCAAACTATTTGTTCGTTGTTGACCAACATGGACACCGTGAGAATCTTTATTGTAGGTCAAATCTCAGATACACCTGTCATAGAAGATATGTTCAATGTGTACCAAGAGCATAAGGTTACTGTAGGCAACAAGTTCACATGTACTTTCTATGACTGCCAGATGTCAGAAGAACATGCTAGATCATCTATGTGTTGTACCAATAATTTTTGAGAATGATGAGAAGGTTTTATCTATGTGTTCAATTATTTTATTTCTGATGTTTGGTATTTTCTAGGATGCCCTTCCAATGATAAACAAATTGAGGTTTGACGAGGCATTTAGACCTGCCATGCAGTATGTATTTGGTAAAACTCTCATTTGCCGCAACCTTGATGTCGCCTCGCAGTTTTCCAAAAGTGAAAATCTTGATTGCATTACGTTAGAAGGTATTCTCAGACATCAAGCATATTTGTTATGATCAATAAGTAGTGAAAAAGTTCCTACATTTTCTTTATTTGTTTATTGAAGTTAGTAATTTCTTTTAACTAATTAGTGCAACTGGAAATATAATACATAAATTTACTGATAAAAGAATAAAACATGGTACAAACGAAACTCTTTTTGCAATGACAAACGGAATGCAAATAACAAAGAACGTTCTCCTCTCTCACTGAATGTCGCTGGAATCGCTTTGAAACAGCCCCAAAGTAACACACAGAATAAGAGTCGAAGTTATTCGTTTTAATTCAATTGTTTTTTTCATAGTTTGAAATGTTATATACAATCGTTACATTCCCATACAAACTCTTATATTTACGATGTTACGCAATGTCATATAATAAAGGTCACGGCTCCCAAGGATCTTGAGATACAGCTGTGCCTGTGGAGGAAATTTTTATTTTTTGTAGCAGATCAATATCAGTTTCGAGATTCAAATGTACCAAACAGAGAATCGTTTGTTACAGGGGACCAAGTTAGTCGGAGAGGTGCGCTCACCGGTGGTTACTATGGAAACAGAAGGTCTCGCCTGGAGTTACAGGATAGCATTTGGAAATTACAGGAAAAAGTGGAAGGAGAAGAAACAGAGAGAGATAAACTTAAGGGAGAATTAGAGAGTATCCATTTATATTGAATCACACACTTTGCATTACGATTAAATTTTACTCGTCTGTGAGACAAGTACTGTAATGTTTTCGTGTTTTAGTGATTGATTTATTATAAGAGACGTATTTAAATAGCCTTAACAGATTTCTAGAACTTGATTCTGAAGTAACAGTTGTGTTGGGAGAATTACAGAAGGTGGAAACACAACAAGTACAGCTAAGGTGAGTCTCGCTAGAACCTCTTAAAAAAAAATGCATATGGAGACGGTTTTTAACAGCGCTGACCATATTTATTTGATAATCGCAGGACGTATTTACACTTTCTGGTATTATACATGTAGTGTTGATGTAAATAAATTAGGTAGCTAACACAACAAATGACATTACAGGGAAACATACGAGAAACAGAAAATTGATGTGAAGGCCAAAACGCAGGAAAAGAAAACAGCTGAACGAACGTTGGAGTCAAAAGTAAGTAACATCCTTATTCTTTCTTTTCTTTTATGTGCATGTACATCCTATATTTTTTAGTGAACAATATTAGCAGAGCTCGTGCGCCGCGAAGCTTTACCAGCGGAACACCATGGATAAGAAAATCTAACCATGCGAATAATTTTGGCTATGACGTACTTACGGTGGTTGATGTAATCAACCGTCTGCCCACTACATGTAAACCACTGTGAAATGACTGGAATGTGGAATGCAAGAAGAACTTGAGAAGTGATATATTAAGGCTCTCTTTAACTTGTTTGTTATACATCTGTAGGAACAAGGACTGTCACATTTTGAGGTGGATTTAAAGTCCATGCGTAGCACCATGAAAGCTTTAGAGGAGGAACTCGGTACTGCTTTGGTTTCTCAACTTAATGCAGAAGATCAACAAGAGGTATGGCCTGCGTTAATGTCCTTAATTTAACCAAACTGTAACAACAGTTCAAATTTTAAACTGCAATCTGTTTGCAAAACTCAAAAGGTTGCAGGAATGGCTGTTTCTGTTGTTCTTGTTGTAATATAGGGCTAGACATTTGTCAGTTATTTTATGTACAGTACATTCATAAAGTTAATTTGTTACTCAAGACAGTAACCACCCACATATATTAAGAACATCAGGCTGAAAGTTGGCCAATGAATTTATGAGAACCAATTCAGCCTAATAAAAGGATGCCAGAATAAGAACGCACTCATATTATATTACTATGGTATTATAACATTATTAGTATTAAGTAATAGTATTTATTTATTTATTTCTTTATTTGAAATTTATTTTTAGCGTATTTCTTAGTAATTAAACATTGTATGTTAATTACGCCTCTAGCAGTCTTTAAAGNCCATTCGGCTTCGCCTCATGGGCTATTGACCCGTAGCCCTTGCGGGCTACGGGTCTAATTGTTAAATAGCAGCTGGTTTGGCTTATAAGAACTTACATGTTATTGATCGTTTTACCAAAATTTCACGGTAAAACCAATACTCGTTTGCAACTTTGTAGGCATAAGATGGTGAAGTCTAACAATTGCCTGATGACAATTGTTAATGGACCGGATTCCAGCGATATGAGGTATGTGACAGAACATTATGAGAATGGACGACTGGCGGACGGCTTCTCTTGGAGAAAGACAATTAAGCCAGGCGACGAAAGGGTTGTTCTCAGCTATGAAAAAGATTGGTCATGGGCAGGATGTTCAGGATACGTAACCTACAGGATGTTCGACACCAACATCACCATTGCCTTCTCCAATCCATTTATGGCAACCAACAAGCTAGGAGTCGGGACCGGCGGCAGGAAAGTGTGGGAGGAGATGAGTAGCCATGATTACAACGAGTTTCTCGTTGATGTAACTGCCAACGATGACAAGAAAACGAGGATAAGGTTCGAGTGTATGTGCACGGGCGGAACAACCACCACATGTACTGTCAATATAAAAGCATATACAAACTAGTTGCACTGAGCAGCTTTTTATCCGGCTTACGTCACCGTGTAGGCGCGTATTTTCATGTCATTGTCATGTCGTTTTCGTCACCTGTTGTAGGTTGTTCGCTTAAAAAAGGCTTACAAAAGGGGGTCGCGGGCACCCCAGTACCCCCTTGGCTACGCCCCTGCACACAACGGCCACTTTCCTTTGTCCCCAAGGTGGCCTTTGTTGAGAGGTGAGGTTCGACTGTATCATTAAGATTAAGAATTAGCCAATCGGATTTTGTGTAGTTATAAGGCCTGCACTTGCGTTCATTAGTATTAAGCTTTGGTATTGCTCTGTATCAACGAGCACTGTGTTTACTTTAGGCGATAGAACAGTGACGTTAAAACTGTAACAATAAGAACGTCAGTCACATTTTTAATGGAACACATGGTTGTCTGTTGCTAACCGTTAGATACTTTGCATATCAACTGAGCAGCTACGTTAGTACACAACGACTGGTTTACTTAGATCAAAGCCTAGGGATCAAAGTAATATTTATCAGAACCTAGAAAGGCGTACGTTTTGTTACTATCATGAAGATTGAGAATTAGCCAATCGGATGTTTTGTAGATATCAAGCCTACACCTCTTTGTGTCAGCAAGCACCTGTGTTTATGTTTGATGATATAAAACAAGGTGTGAAAATAACTTGAAAACTGACGTAAATCGATTACCAAGGATCGTTCTAAACACGTGGTTTAGCTTTAAAGTATCTACAAAGTTTATTCTACATTAAAGACTTTGCTGTGTTCCATAAGAAGTCTCTGTGTTTACTGCCGTTTCCTCGCCTTTTGGGCCCATGAATGTAGACCCTGTACCTCTGACATGTTGTAACAAGTGCTGGCTGCCAAGTGATTAGTTCTGGCAGAGCTTTCCCGTTCCCGTTTAGT